ACAGTGGAGATGGGATGCATGGTGTACATCCTGCAAGAGAAATCCCTCTCTTGTGAGTGGGATCCACTGCTCCTTCCAACCGTCACCAACATTTGGAGTTGCTGGATTTTGTCGGGTCAGAGGGAAGGAGAAGGTTGTTAGCAATACTCCCCAGAAACATATTTTCAACTTTAGGTAAGACGGGATCTTGCTGGGGAATTTCCTTGCTTCAGGGCCCATAAAGGGGGAGGGAGCAATGCTGCAACTGGTCCTGTTCGACTTCCAAATCTCAGGCTCTTTCAGACTGCAGTAAAGTCTATGAGAGACATGGAGCAACTATGGAGCAAATGCCAGAATAACATGATTCACTCCCGATGTGAGAGTAGGGAGGTGCAGAATTTCCAAAGTCTGCTTCCTCCCAGAAAGCAAATTCCTGTTCTTACACACCCAGAACTAGTTTCTTTTGGATGAGACCACTGCCTCCTAAAATCTGAAGAGGATCCTGTTCACGCGATGCCCAGGACCTGTCCTTGACAGGGCAGAGTTACGAAACAGCTACCAGCTACTTGGAGAGAGATTCCTGTCCTTGAGACAGAGACTGCACTGGAAAAAACTAAGTTCTAAAACACCTCCAAAATAAATTTAAATTGTTAATATTTTCATATTAAACTAAAATCGGATAAATGCAACATTACAGAGTTTTATTAACCTGAGCAGCTTTCAGCAGATATGCTTTTCAACCACAGAAAAGAAGCCCACAGAGGGAATGGGGGGGAAAGTGAAAATAAAAAAGGAAGAACTGGAAAGGAATGGTTGTTCTTAAGGTCATGAGTGGTATTGTCGAGACATTTTTCCTCACAATTACCACTATATTGGCTGTGGCTAAGAAATGTGATATTGATATTCTGGTTACCCCTTCCAAAAGCAAACACATGTTCTGTCTTTTAAATAAAAAAGTGTACACAGAATAGGTAAAGAAGTTTCAGAAGTCACCTGTTAATTGCAGATATATGCAAATGACTATGGGGCAAGGCTTTTTAATGAAACAGAATAGAAAAAATGGAGATGGCCATACAAAACTTGGAAGACATGAAAAAGCCTGACAACATGATCAGGCCATGCAAGTTCTTTGAAAGATTAATTCACTTTTTTTTTTTTCTCTCTAATTCAGTACAGCTATTGGAATACTGTTAGTTTACTACAGAGTTCCAAGGAGTTCTGGTCTTCTAGTTCCACTGCAAGAGACACTTGCTCCAATAACGATGCTGAGCGAAGAAAATCCGTCATGTACTAACCATATCCCACCCTCCAAAGAAATATTCCCCATTTTGTGAAGTAAAGTGAGATGTGGGAGTCCTTGACCTTCTAAGCAATTAAGGGAAAGAGAGACATTCTTGTTTTTATTAGAGAGGCACTAAACTATTTGAAAATAATTTGAATTGCTGGAGAATTAGTGTATTTGCCTGTTCATGAGTAGTGCAGATAGTTTAGAGTTCTCTTGGGGGCAACACATCGTAATGAATATCTGCTATTCATATTTAATGCAATCTGCCAAAGAGTGCTTTTGGGAGGACTTTCTGTGTCAATATAATGATTAACAACAGAACTGGAAAAGTAAATGAATTCCTTCTACGGGTGGGGATGGCAAAAATAGCTTGCAGTGCTACACAACTGCATTTGACTGTACTGTTTTAAAGATGCCTATGGAAAATCCATTTCTCAAGGAAAAAAAGCAAGAAATCTTTAAGTTGGAGAGAAATCTTTAAGTTGGAGTTCAAGGTAAACAACTAGCAATAATGCATGGAAAAATAATTTCAACAGAACACAATGTTTAAAACTTCAATGTCCCTGACTTTAGTAAGTCTGAAAAGTCAGAGATGCAGCGTGGCTGCTAATAAACATAATAAGCTGCTAATAAGCTGCTGATAAACATAATAATTAGTTTTCATATAGCCCTGTCCAAACGGAATGCCACAGTTAGTTCTTTCTCTACCTTTTCCATGTTCTCAGGTAATCTTAGTTTCTATAGGCTTTCTGATGCCTAAAAGATTTACATAAAATAGAATATAAAATACTTCAGTATTTACAACGCATTTTTAAAACACCCCAAACTGGAAAGTATGGGAAAGCTTGGCTGAAATACAACAAATGACCTTAGTCCTGATTTTCCTCCTTGACATCCCAATAGCCCTCTATAGCACACACTCAGCTTTCACTTATTCATTTCCTTAGTTTTCTTAAGTCCAAAGACTTTCTTCTATCAGGCTCACCACTATCTCCTGCCCCCTTACCGAGCTATTTCCCCTCCTTCTATCTGCAGCAAATGAAACACAGAGGATCCAGAGGCTCACGTGGGCAATATGGGATTGCTCCCACTGATGACAGCATGGTCCAAGCAGGATGCCCAAAGAGGGATGCTCACTTCTCGCAAAACTGAACACTCTCCAGCCAAAGCATCTTATTAATTAGTGGCTCCCAAAGTATCTCCAGATCCTACAGGAATTTGACCTAGGCGATGCTGAGCGTGCATCGCAGCATTAGCTCAGACTAAGTTTTTCAACTCAAATAGTTACACAATACACTCACTGAGGGAGAAAATACTGTTTCTAAATGAACTAAGTGGTAATCTCCTGAAACTCTCAGTTATATTTTTAATATAGAAGCATCATTTAGTTATATTTTTAATATAGGAGCAATTCCTCATTACTAAGAAAACTGCAGAAACCTTGATACCACCTGGTCTCAGCAGTGAAAATGCCTGTTTCGTGCTCTGTGGGCTAAGTACAGCAGTAGGTAAATCAATCCGACTTATAAAAGTAATGATCTTCTTGACCGCGGTCTCTTCTRTTCATTCAGTGCTAATGCATAGTTCATGTATGCATAAAAGTAATATTTTTTTCATCTTCTGACCTCTTCAGCACTGTGACCAACCCTCTAATTATTAAGTATTTTGCACTATGTATCTCAGTATAAAAACAGAAGCCAAGTCACAGGTCATGGAGGCAAGACCACTATTAACATCGATGAAACTAAATCATTCTATCCAGAACTCGTATTGTAACCCATTTGTGCACACAAAATCAGTATGTCTAAAATCTTGTTGTCATTTTAACGGCATCAGAGATACTCTCCCCAGCTGCGGATTAAGATGACTTAATTTAACCCTAATGTTACCTGGGAAAGTGTAAAATGTAAAAGGAACAAAATAAAACAATAAAGTAATACAATGGCTTAAATGCCAGTGATGTTGAACAAAAGCTGCTCAACTGCATTATTAAAAAAAAAGAGGATTAAGGAAGTAGAGATTTTTGAGTCTTTTCACAGTATTCCTATTATTTAATTTACATTGAATTATGAGCAAACAGAAGGGATACAAAAGATAAAAAGCTCAATAACTTAAATCGCTTACAGTGCAGTGGTTCAGCCAAATTTTGATTTCTTCAGATCTTTACTGTTTAGATCTATATTTTCCCACCATCTAGTCTAAGCTGATATCTTATTAGAGGCCATCACCATACTGAGCACTACCCATGGGATGGCTACTTTGTAAAATGCCAAAAAAAAAAAAAAAAAAAAAAAAAATCCAAAAAACAAAAGAGACTGCAAGGACTGCACCTGTAAAGACATTCTCAGCTAAATCACCCTCCTCAACAGCTTGCCAATTTTAGCCACTATTTTTACACACTTTTGCAGGACAGTCTTAATTCCATAGGAAGAACTTGTGGAAAAGAAAAAAAAATCATATTGGAYGACATACATTTCATACATTTTAGTATTTATCTGCACATGTCTCCAAAAGCCCCCATTCTATAACCCTCTCTATCTCTAAGTGTTTAGTGTTCTTGCAATATTGTCGCATATATTCAGTTCAGCATTCTGATCATTAACCAAGATCATTTTTGTAGGCTTGGCAAGTCAAATACTTGTAGACCTTCTAACTTAAAAAATTTACTTTTTTACGTCCAACACATCTAAACATTCAGTTGAAATGAATACCCAACCTGACGAGGTATTATACCTCTTTGTGCGTGTGACTGCTGGAAGCTTTATTAGAGATAAAATATTGGGAAAAAAAATCAAGGCTGCCAAATGTTCAACAACTACAGTGTGCATGCAACACATGAAGCCAGAATTAGTAAAGGTTTGGTTCAATATAACAAAACACAGTTCTGCAAAGGCACTTTTTAGTCGAGACCTTTTCATAATGATCAATCTCAGTAATATACCGAGACAAACATATTTGCAACAAACTGACCTGTGAAGATGAATATGTTCTGGTTTTCCTCAAATAARAGAGAGAGAAGAGAGAGAGAGAGAAAGACATTCAGCTACTCCCTGCCAAGACCTCCAGAAAGACCACTTGCCTATGGGCTGCTGCTCAAAGTTTATCCCCAGGAGGACTTTGTTTGGAGACATTTAGACATATATAAACTAGGTTCAAGCAGGAAATGCATGTCTTCTATAAAGTTAAGAAACCCAGTGGCCCAGCTAATATACTCTGCAGTGCTAAAATTGTGGTAGTGCTGAATACAAAAGTCAACCATAAACCCAAGTGCTATTTTGCAGCCACAGGCAGCTTCTGGCTGCTGGCTGCCCATTGGGCTGCCAGAGACTGCCAGGAAGGAAGCAGTTACTAATTAAAGAAAACAAAAGCAATATTAATTATAGTGCAACTTGAGAGAATTCTCCCCTGAGGAACCATCACTGTTCATGTTACTAACACGGGATTCTACAGTAGGCTGTCAGGAGGGGTATGTATATGTAACACGGTAATGTAGAATAGTCTAGAATACATTGCWCGTTCTACCATTCAGAGTTTCCAAAGCTTTGGCATTTCATACAGATGCATGTTTGCATTTATAAAACCRAAATTAAGAAAGAAGAGTGCTTCAAAACAAATGCATGCTTTTTGCCCAAGTAAGCTACCCCATTCTGCAATTACCCTTAAAATAATTTCAAAATCAAAAAAACAGGATCAAAAAGAAAATCTGTTAATGAAGCTATCAATGCTGAGCACTTACTTGCAGGTGATGGGGTGCTGCATCCACTGTTTGGTGGGTGACTCTGCAGTCCATGAAGAGCAGGCAGTGACAGTCCACCGATGACTGGAGGGAAAAGTAATGGATATGGTGCTGCTGGATAGTGAGTCATATGTCCATTCACTGCTGGTACTGGACATGTGCGGCTGCTGGTTGTCATGTTAATACCTCACAGTGTATAAATATTAAGTTGCATTACTCTGGGCCAGCAAAGAGATACCTGAACTTGTGAATGGAGAAGGTTGTCAAGCTAACTTCTTGATGTGGATTGTGCAATGATGGGGAAAGCTAATTCACTGGAGTAGGTCTGCCCTATATTTCATTGCTGATTCTTACTGTTCTCTTTCCCAGTACATTCTTGCTCTGCAGATTATGGAGAGAAGGTCTTGTTATTCTGTCAACTCAGGGTGCAGTTCTGTGGCTTATGCAAATGTTTCTCCAGGAGGGCAGTCACACTCTACAGAAGCATGCTGATGTAGTCTGTGGGAGGAAAAAAGCAATATATTGTTTTATATCTATATCTATAAATATATCGATATAYATATATAKAGAGAGAAATATTTTTATATATAGATATATTCATATATGCATATGTGGGAAATAGTTTTGTCTTTGCAACATTTGTTAAGTGATTTTCTAAGATCAGATTGATAACTACCTGGGCCTAAGAGTCTTATTTCACCGAAGGTAACAGTAGAAAACTCACTAACTTGGTTTCATTGCCCARTGGTTACATCAAAAACAATGTCAAGTCAGACAAAACCTTGTTTGGCACCTGCAATTTTAAAAACAGGACCTCCATCTTCTAAAAGCTGCATGGACCTTCCTCYGGCTTTCATCTGAATGGCTGGCAGCTACAGAAGGGTCCTTATTTTCTCAGTGTCCATATTTAAAGCCTCAGGCTGAGAAGAAGCAACCTTCTGTGCTATTCTGAATGGTGAAACTCGCTCCCTCTAACAGCTGTTCAAATTTATGTACAGCAAACATGCAACTCTTCTAAGTCTTGGTGTCTGCAGAGCTACTGGAAACCCCACATCACAGAATCGCAGAATGGTTGAGTTTGGAACGGACCTCTAGAGATCATCTAGTCCAACCTCCTGCTCAAGCAGGGACACCTAGAGCACGTGGCACAGGGTGGCATCCAGGTGGGTTTTGTGAACTCTTCTTGATTTTGTGTGACATTGTGGCCAGAAATCATCACATGTTGCAGCTGTCTCCTTAGCRTTATCCTACCCAAGGCGCTCTCAGCCTCTCCCAACATGTGCCGGTGTGGGGAAAAAATCAGGAGCCACATTGCAAACATTGCCACCCCAAAACTAGACAGTCACCTAAAGGAGCTTCCTGGAAGACCACTTGAAGTCCATACAGTGGCTACTACAGTGAGTGAACAGTTACAAAATCCAGCTCCTACACAGATTTTTAGTCATAGTTTTTTAAAATTATAACCTGAAACTAAAGGTAGAGAGATTTTTGGATGGGAAAATAAAGGAACAGAAGCAAAATGACTTGTCAAGGTCACAAAGCAAAATCAACAGCAACAAAGGGAATCTGCGACAACACTGTTTTTACTATTGCTACTGCTACTCAGTCTGCTACTTGTCAGTAAGAATTCAAATGAGCAAGGAAAAAAAGATGAGAACCAAATGCATATGTTTGCCTGTCGCAAAGCAGTGGTGTGTTTCTACTCTGTGAGGAATACCAGGAAAGGTTACCAGCTGTGCATGTTTTCAGACAGCAATTTGCACTGAGTACAGCCTGCTTGGGGATAACAGAAATGTACTTGCAAGTATTTGATAACTGTGTAAATTATGCACAAAATACCTTTAATGTTAATGGAGACAGACATATGCAGACATGAGACTATAAGGGGGGTATAGTGAGTTAATGCACAGTTCCAGGGGAAGACAGAAAGGCTGTTAGTCATGCTGATCTCAAGGACCATGTGTCTGGAGATGGGTGAAATCAGGCAGATCTTTCAAGGAAGCCTCCGCAGCCAAAATATAATGACTCATTAACAACACAAAATGAGATGAACCGTAACAGGTAACTTTCTGTTTTATCTAGCTAGAGCTTTATGAAACTTAAGAGACGGAAAGTGCAGCACCAAAGGAACACTCAAAGAATGAATGTTTTCCAAAGCAATTCTGCTGAAGTCTGCAATATTTCCACAGAAAAACAAAGAGGAGAAGGATGTCGGTCAAATCCAGCCCCACTAAATTAATCATAAATCAAGGTCACCTATTTTTAAATTATAAAGGCTGTCAGAAATAAAAGGTATCTGATAAAACTATCAAATACTTTCAACTATATTTCTATTAGCCACAAAAACGCAGAGCTCAGCATGAATTATCAAAATGTGCTCAATCAATGGTCTTTACTGCTATTTGACCTGGAGGAAAAATATACAGTTGTATGATGATCTAACCAGAAAGGTCCTACACATTTTTAGGTACTGGATACACAGTTTGTACTTCCAGTTTTGGGTAAAATAAATTCTAAATAGAAGTCAAGTAGATACTGACAGACATATTACTGAAGATTCAGGGCTTCCGTGTTCAGACCTCAGCTTTACTAAGGCCTTCCATTCCCAGAATTACAGCAATATATGTATCTATATATTTAAATGACAGTTTCCAGAAAAGAAAGAAATCCTCTAGGATTTCTTCTAGTGAAGGGGAAAAAAAGACATTCAGCAAACTATATTCCATGCGCTATTGGTGATCTCAAAATGCAGCAATATTATAGCTCCTTAATATGCAAGTACATATGAAATACCTACTAGTGTCAGACTGGATCATAATCACATAGTTCTGTATGCCTATAGCTTTATATAAGGTACAATTATATATTGAATTTGTTCCGAGAAACCAAGTTGCAAGTTGTTCTTGAYCTACTCAAAAATCATCCTCATTTTACCGTTCATGGCAGGAAATTTCCTGGAGGAAAATGTATGCAGGAGGAAAATGTATGCTGGACATGAACCTTCAGAACTTGCTGTTCACTTTTCTCTCCATATAAACGCAGACAGAGCAGACAGTGGAAAGGGCAGGATACTCTAACCAGTGTATCACTGGGCTCTAAATGAAGCCATGTAGATCAGAATCATCAAGCAGCTGTTCTGGGGGCCAAACTTTAAGATGATCAAAATGAGAACCATAAGCAGAAGCCCAAGTTCTAGAAATGCTTCTTGTGAAAAGAAAGTGCCAGTCGTGCTGTGTACTCACCAAGGGATTGCAGATCACTGGCTCTGCTATCAAAGATCACAGACCAGTCACCACGACCACTGCACGGCACGGCTAGCAAACACTGGCATAGCCGCAAGGTAGAAACTGCCATGACATGAGAAATACCCAAATCTTTGCCCCACATCTGGATTTCYTTGAGGAGGGAGCTAACCGGCTTGCCCTAAACAGGACACTAGAAGTTGGCGACCGCAGATGAGGAGCAGGARGCTGTTAGGAAGTAAAGAACGAGCCAAATGGTTGAACGCTCATTCATGCAAGGCAGCTGCGCTGCTTTCCGCCCCACACATACCAGGCAGGATTGCTAGGAAATGGCTGTCACCAAGGCTCTTCAGAGGAGCTACCTACTATATTAAAAAATCAGCTCCCATTAGACCTGTCCTAAGCAACTGTTCATCAGTATGAGGGCTGCACAGTTCAACCCTCAGCATAAACAGTGTATGGGAAAGGATCATACAGAAAGGTTTCTTTGAAGGCTAACCAAAAGATGATCACATTATGCACTACACTGCGCTGAACACCCGCCAATGACTTTACTTTGACAGCACATAGGGCCTCCTTTCTTTTTTTTTTTTTCCTCTCTTTATGGGCTTTTTATTGACTTCAGTGATAAAGCAGATGGCCACGGGGGAAAGAGTCTCCTGTGCAGAACAGACAACATATTTATCAGCTATGCTTAATACAGCAGGTGTACCTGGCTCTTGTACACTTCTCAGTGTTTATGAAGCTAAGCAGAGGTTCAAAAATTTTACATAAAAGCTCCAACTTTCCCTGCATAAACAGTGACCTAACTTTTCTAACTGTTTTCCCTCTTAATTTTACATGCACTTTGTGCAGACTCTGCTATGGAAAAGAGTTTAACTTTCCACGTGCCAGTTCTCCTAGAGCGTGYTCTGTTAACCAGTTCTCACTGGTTAAACTGCTGTTTAGCCTATACCTGGTACCAACCTTTSATATTCCAACTCCAACAATTCACTGTATTGTTATCTGTCTCTGCTGAATTCTGTCCTCATTTAGGCTTGATTTTAATTCATAAAATCACCCTTGCTATTGCAGGTGACTTTCACACATTTCAGCAGCTGGAAAGGCAAGAAGCCAAGACAAGAGGCTGGGCTGACAGCCATGTGCCACCAGGAAGGTTATGCCCTGTCCTCCCAGCCACCAGCACRGTCCCTTTTCCACATTCATCTTCCTTCACTTTCACAGTCTGCCGCTAGGAAACGGGTTGTCAGCATTACAATCAAAACAGCATTTTTTTTTTATTGTTGCTAAAATAAAGGAGTCCAAAAAAATCAGTAGAGCCACCAATGCTTCAAACTCTACAGCCCTCCTGATCTGCCCAGGGCTGCGCCTTGCTCTCCTGTCCCCTCCTAATACAGGGGATCCTCTGTTGCCTTCCTAAGCAAGCAGATCGGGCACCTCCACACCAAGCCCCTGGACAGGCCGCGCTCGGCGCTCCGCAGCGTCCACGTCCCTCCAGCTTCCAGGGTCATGGAGGAAGTTGCTTCTAAGTTCATTTCCCATTTTCTTGCCAGCGCCAAAATCCCCCCTCTCTTAAATCTTTGGCTAAACGCTAACACAGGAACCTCTGGACGGGGAGGACAGCCTGGCCAGCAAAATGCTGAGGTAAGTTGCTCCCCTCTCGGCAACAAAAACAAGTCAAGAGAAAATCCGCATGAAAAATCCTTCAGCAATTTATTACGTCTTTTCCCAAGAGATACAGTTGACTGAGTCCTTATTGATTATGCAGCTCAGAGAAATATTCCAATGCTGTTTTCAAAACAAGTCAAGATCTAATAGTTTCAAGAACCCTGACTGTATTTAATGTATATTTTGTAGCTTATATGGAAAGCTCTGATTATGCATATGCTTTCCATTATGCTCGCTGATGGTACTGCACTGAGCAGGACTGAATAATTCAGCAGATTTAGCAAGAGTCAAGTGTAAATCAGTCAGATACAGTAACACGACACCCGTGCTGCCTTTAAACTATTAAAAATATGTGGAAACTTTATGTTGAAAAGGAATCTACCCTGCTTTTCCACAGGTCGCCCGCGCCCGCGAGTCTTGGCGTTCGGCTCTCTTGACTGTACAACCGAGATTTAATTAAACAATAAGCTGGTTACAGTGGCAGAAATAAAAAAGCCTTTGGAGTGTGATGTTTCCTTTATTAGCATAGTGATGTGAAGCTAAACAGAAAAAGCAATCTAATAACAAACATTCCTTTGAGAACTGCTC